TCAAGTTCCTAAACCAGGAAAATCTCAAGCAGGGGCCTTATTTCTCCCCTTATACTTGCAAATGTATATTTGATATTATTTTTCCCCTCACTTGAAGATGAAATATTCATTTACTTTTTTGACAAAAAACTGAGAATAGACAACTTAAAACTTTGAGATGCACAACAAATGCTACAAATACATCTGATTTCTAGATTAGAGTCAACTAAAGATCAAAGGGAAGGAAGAGATTATGAACAGAACGGTGAGACATCACAAGGATAGAGACAGAGGTAGGGATAGAAGCCATACCCTAGGCATTAGCTATAGTGTTCTTCTTTAAAATCCTGATAAACTGCCTGCTTTTTATAGCTCTCAAACTGTTCAAACTCGCAGGCTCTATTCTGATCAGAATAGCGTGATTGTCAATGTGTATAAAATGATTTTTGGAGCAGTGTCAGCAACTAGAGCACTATCAGCCTGGGAATGGGCCTGGGGAAATCGGGGGGTGTGCATGGGAGGGGAGGCAGATGAAATGAAGACTGTTAGGATGGTAGTGAATGAATACTCTCTTCCAGATCTTGACTAGGGACCACAGGTTCCCTGCTTTAGTCTCAGAGGATGGTGACGTGATCGCATCTCCAATAAAGAGAAAAGAACCAAGCTCCAATTGCAACATGAGAAATTTAAATTTGTGATTAAGAAAAATTTATCAACACTAGGACTATAATGGATTTTTGAGAGGTTTTCCAGACATGTTAAATTAATATCAGCAAGAATTGGCTTATGTTATGTGAATATTTTAAAACTGCTTTAGAATTGAGTTTGAGAATTGATTTAAAGCATTCACATATCTTTCTGCTGCTTATTTGTAGTAGTTACTGCTTTTATGCCACGTACATAGGCTTTATTTTGATACACTAAACTTTGAAAATCAATGTTTACATAATATAGTATAAATATTAAAACAAATTCTCCAGCACATCTTAGCACAATCTCTCCCAACCTTTCTTCTGCTGGTTTTTGTAAGGTCCCAGATTCCTCTCTAGCACCTTCAATCCAGTCTTGACTTTCACACAGTCACCTTAGCTTCCATTCTTCCTGTAGCTGACTCCTGATTAAGACAGAGCCTCCACGGTTTGCTCATAAATGATTCTCTCTTATTTTACATGAATAAAAACAGAAAGTCAGTGTGACTCATGTCAAATATTAAATTCTAACTTTGGTTCAAAGTAGATGGTCAATGTAACCATGTCTAAACACCCTTCACCTCATTGGAGATGCAGTTTAATCTTTTATTCAAAGCACAGAAATGATTGGCTCTATTACAGAAAATATCAAAACCAAGTTATCTCATCAGAAGACTGTGATCTAAACCAGGGTCAAAACAGAACATGATCTAAAGAGAAGATACAAATTGAGCCTGGGTTAAGTATGACTTTGTGACAGACCCAGACATGTGAGGAGTACCTAAATAAGCATTTTGGCCAAGGGATGTTGTTCAATACAACTGCTCATGTAGTGAGTAAAATGTACCACATTTAAAATATACAAAAATAGTTTTAAAAAATGTATTAGAAAGCAAGCCTATCTGTAGGCTACAGAACATTATGAATACCCAAACGCCCTCAAAACAACCACGTCCAAACAAAAAACAACAAAAAATGCAGCATTTTAAATCATTTGACTAAGAAATTCAACTCTTAAAGCTCAATGCAAATTTATATAACAAACTGATTTAATTTTTTTTTTTTTTTTTTTTTTTTTTGTTTATGCAGATGTCTGGATTTGAGTTTTTTTTTTTTTAAATTTACTTAATGTTATTTGATTTTATTGCCTAATTGGATTATTAATGCTTTTTTTTCTTACTGTGGTAAAACTTAATGCTTAGGAATTTAAATAGGAACAAATTGGGCAATAAGGCCTAACTTGAGCAAAGCCGCTGTCAGATCATGCTATACATTTGACTTTATCGTTAGCACTGAGTATTGATACAATTTAAGCACAATTAGTCAAATATTAGGGGCAGCATGAAATGACTAAATTCGGTGGGCATACAGACCCAATCAGGAAGTTTAAAATGAGATTACTTCAGAATTTCTTAGAAAGCTATGTAAAGACAGTGACCTAAAAATTACACTGTCAGAATGACTCTTCTAAATAGGAAGAAAAAAAAAAAAAAAGGCGGCTCCCTTTGAATAAAGTCTTCTCTTCCAATGTGGGAATAATTTGAGGTAGGGGGTGCTTATCATCTGTTTGACAATATTCATATTCCACTGTTACAGAGTAGTAGAAAAACATTGAGATAGTTGAAAACCAAAGAGCAATGCCTTGTACAAACATGGATGTGATTTTCATGCTTCAACAACTAACAGGAAACTATACTCACACTAAAAAAAACTTAGGAAATAAAAATATTGAGATTTTAAGAATTTAAATTGGCCAGGCATGGTGACTCATGCCTGTAATCCCAGCACTTTGGGAGGCCTAAGCCGGTGAATCACAAGGTCAGAAGTTTGAGACCAGCCTGACCAATGTGGTGAAACCCTGTCTCTAGTAAAAATAGAAAAATTAGCTGGGCGTGGTGGCAGGAGCCTGTTATCCCAGCTACTTGGGAGGCTGAGGCAGGAGAATCACCTGAACTTAGGAGGCAGAAGTTGCAGTGAGCTGAGATGGCGCCACTGCACTCCAGCCTGGGTGACAGAGTGAGACTCTGTCTCAAAAAAAAAAAAAAAAAGAAAAGAATTTAAATTGAGTTTACAATAATGACCAACCTGAGCACAATGAACAGCAAATGTGATACTCTAGTTATAAAAATGCCAACAGCAAAGCTGCACAACTTACAGTTTTTTAAAAAAGTACAAAAACATCAACTGCCCAACAATAGGGGCTAAGTAAATTAAACTCCACTCACTTAATTAAATGATATCCAGCCATTAAAGAGAATGAAGTAAATCTCAATGTTCAGCATATATAATAATGCCCACAAGAGACTGTTAAGTTTAAAAACAAGAGACTTTGAAAACATTATGTAAACTCAAAGATGCCAGAAACAAAAGGCCACATAGTACATGCTTCTATGTCTATGAGATGTCCAGAATAAGCAGATCCAGAGACAGAAAAAAAGATTAGTAGTCGTCAGGATATGGAGGGAGGGGCAAATTGAGATACAGAGGATTTTTGTGGGGTGGGGGTAGGGGGGGTGATAGAAATATTCTGAAAATAGTGGTGGGTGATGACTGTACAACATTGTGAATATACTAAAAAACATTGAATTGTACACTTTAAAATGGTTAAAATGGTAAATTTTGTTATATGATTTTAATTCAATAAAAACAAGTTTAAAAGCTATGTGCATGTATGTATTCTTGTGTACACAAGTCACTAAGAACTGGATTCTCGTGTGTATAGTCGATAAAATGTATGCTAATCTATTTAAAGGCAGTTATGGGGGAACGAAATTTAGGGATAGAGGGGCAATTTCACTTGTTTAGTATTAATATTCTTCTGGGAAAAGGTACTGTATATATTTTAGTCTCTATTAAAATCTATCCTAAAACCCTTCTCTTGAACTTTAGAAACATAGATGTTCTGGTGGTTGCTCTGCCTCCCATTCCCCTTTCCATGTTTTTTAAAAAGTTTATTAACATAATTTACATACTGCAAAATCCACCTATTTTAGTATACACTTAGTAAACATACAGTTGTGCAGCCATCACCACTCAAAAAGTTCCCTCCTGCCTCATTTGCCGTCAATCCCCACTACCACCTTCTGGCAACTCCTTATCTGCTTTGTCTTTATGGACTGCCTTTTCTAGATATTCATATAAATGGAATCATATGACATGTGGCCTTTTGTATTTGTTTTTTTTTTTTTAACTTGGCATAATATTTTTGAGGGTCATCCATTTTGAAACAGCTTATCAATAATCTGCTTTTTATTGTTGTATGGAGGTATTATCATGATGACGGTGTACCTAGAAAAGGAAAAAGATTTTACATTCCAAAAATTAAAAATTAAAACACAGAAAACAAAAGGGCTTTTAGTGCCATTCATTGCCTAAAGACTCTACCAAATTCTCCAATATTATCAGACCATGAAACTGATAACTGAAAGCAAATGTGTCATTAAATTTTACAAAGACACTCCTTTGCATTATATTCTAACTAGGAAAATACAAAATAACTATATTTTTTCCATTTGTGAGAAAATAAAAGAGTCATCCAACTAGATTAAAAGTATAATTTACAAGCATGTTAATGTTTCTGCTGAGTACTTCGTTTTCTCATTTTTTTCTTTATTCATTTGTGTGTGCCACAAGTGCTGATAAGCTATTGAAAACACCTTAATGCATAATTAATCACTCTGCAAGCAATCAGCAGATTTAGTGCTAGTTGCAGAAATAAACCAAATTCATATATGCAAGGTAAGCCTAATTAGTTAAGCTCACAAAAAATGTAATATCCGATTTTTAGAACCTAATGTGCTCAACAAAGTATTTGTGCTTTTAAATTAGAACAGCTCTCTATTTAATTAGTCCTCATTTGAGTATGTAATCATTTTAATTTATTTACACAAACACAGGACATTGTGCTCCATCAGCAGATAATGTTCTTCATTAACCAGAGTAGGAACTTTGTGCTCAAGGGCAGCAGAAATATTTCCACCTGTGATGCAAAATCAGAACTGCATACTATCAAATTGCATTCTCTGGTTTTGATAGTCACCATCCTAAGATACATATTTGTTAATAATAACACAAGTTTGACTAAGTACTCTACCAATCCATAGAAATTAACAATTTAAATATTTAATGTTTCATTTTACCTATTGCCCAGTTACAAAGTGGATATTTAATTATTAATGAACAAATTAACTTACCGAAATTCAAGTAATAGTAATGTACTACAATTCAAACTTCAATAATTTGGATGGTGGAGAAGCAGAGTTAATTTTTTAAAAAGTTAATTCTTTCTTTGTTAGGGGTGCAAAGTAATAATAGCCTAGATTGTAGACAGTGGTGAGGCTATGTTTTATTTACACTGTATAAAAACAAACACTGTATGCTTGGCAGGCTAATGACAGATCATTCTTATGTATTTGTTAAAGCACATGAACCAATTCTTCCTTTAGGCGTTTCCAATAAACCTGGATACCTTGTTACTGGCACACTGCTTCCGCTAAATCCTAAATACACTCTAAGAAGAAAAAAAAAGAGACTCTCTTTAACTCATCTGCTGTATGTTTTTGCTAGTAAATAACAGTTGAAATTTGACATGTCACAAAATGAGTCAGCGGATAGCATGTGATGGCAACTTTAACATGAGGAACTGTTTGGGTAGGAGGTTTGCTCTATATAGTATTTTGAAGGAAGGCCCAGTGCTACTTTTTGGTAATTATGCCTCATTGTACAATCTGTATAATAAGAGCCGCTATATTGTTTTGAAAACTTTCCATACTACTTTATGAAAGGCTAAATACTTGCTATATACATACATTTTTTTCTTTTTTCTTTCCACAAACGAAGGGAAACAACTTGTGTGAGTAACTACATCAGATCTGCTTTATATAACAGCATGGCAAATGTGGCCTTGATTTCCCATAACTCTTCACGATATACAGCATCTCTATAGGGTAATATTTTAACTTGTACAATTTCCCTTTAACCAAAGTTTAAAATTCTTCCATTTATGTGAAAGAAATCTAGTGTATACTTTACATCAGAAAGTCTCCCTTTTTCTGTAGGTAGTAAGTACTGCAAGCATAATTGCATGATTTTAACTTTAGAGACAACTGACAACTTTGGAGCATATCTGAGTTTAGCAATGCCTATTAAGGTTAAAAATATAAATGTGCAAAATACCAAATGTACAATGCTAAATTCTATCCCAAATCACATCATTAGATACATTTTAAAAAAACTCTCTTTGATTAGGTGGCCACTATCCAAGGATAGTATCTTAAGATTTCTAGAACTTTACATTATCTGCATAACTACATCTGGAAAAAGAATGTCTATTTCCATAAGCCTAGTTACACAGCTCTTGAAAATACCCATTGATAAGCAAAGTATTATAGCAATGCCATAAAATATATGTTTACTCCATATGTAAAGTCAGCTACATGATCTTGGCATGTATACATGCATGAGTAACACACTAGTATAAGCCAACTTGCCACTCCACTGACAAGTACAGTATTTGGAGACAAGGCATGTGTCAGTCTGTCACTCCCACAGTGAGTTTCAGTTACTCGGTGACAATCACTGGATGTGTTTTTAGTTATGGTGAGTGTCTCTAGTGTTTAAAGATACCCATATGCTTTTAGCATAAAATGGGCCTAAAGCAAAGCAGGTAATCTACCTGGTACTTAACTGAAGAAACAAATCTATTCCAATGATAGACAAAAAAAAAAAAAAAAAAAAAAAAAAAAAAGCCACATAGTACTTTTCGACACACAGTACAGCAGTCTTTAATGTATATAGAAATATGCCTACATAACAGAGTTTGATAAGAGAAGTTTTGGCTATATATGACTCTGCATGTAATCCAACTCTGGAACAAAATTTGCATTAATTCCAACTCCAATGCATAGCTGTTTTGACAGAGCAAGTTAAGCATAAAATAGCTTTGCACCTTATTATTTTGGAGCAAAATAAAAAATTACCACCAACAAAAAAAATCTCTACAATAACTTAAACTAAAAATGTTGTTGGGGATAGAGTAAACAACAAAAAATAAAATAATTTGATCCATATGTGGGTATTTGGCTGAAGATTAAAAGTCTTAAGTCTAACCAACAGCGAGATAATTTTAATTTCCAAAGCATTTCTACCGTTTATTAGCAATATTTGGATATTAACGGAAGACATTTGCCTTAACAAAAACTATATTGAAAAAGACAAATGAATTGAAAAAGACAAAAGTACTATCCAAGAATTACAATAAAAAATTTAGTTAAGTTGGAAAGCCTATCAAATTGCTTTTCTAAAGCAATTTGGTAAGTTTGAAAATCTAGCCCAAAACAAATTAATGACAAGTGAGTTTCTCCAGATGATTAAGAATGAAGAAAAACATACTTATGTGAATCAATAAATATGTTATTTCTCTCACCCTCTTTTTATGCTTTGAAAACTTGTTCTAAACAAGAACCACTGATACATCAGTTTGGCATTTCTTTTTATTTAGTCTGCAAATCTCTTAAAAAAAAAAAAAAAGCAGTATTTTCCTCCTTGTACCCTATCTTTCTCATAACTACAACTGAGCTTTGTCCAGAATCAGAGGCAGTTTTTCTAGAAAAAGCCAATGATCAATATGCAAGATACAGTATTTTCCTATAGACTCACTCTGGCAAGAGAACATGACAATATAAATCAAATACATTTAATACAATAAAATAATATAACTCAAACTGCTTCTCATTTAATACCCTTTTTGTCTGATTCTATATTAGCTGATTTCTATCCTTAAAGCTTAAATTAGGGGTCAAAACCAGAGACTAGTTAAAAAAGAGAACAGTAGTTTAGTAAAAGTAAACTCAGTAACACAGTTAAAATTAATTGGGAAAGTTTTAATTAATAAGCATTCAAATGTACTTTACATTGATAACTGCAATACTGAATTTTGTAAAACTTTAAATATTTCCCTTAAAAAAGGTTAGTGATTTTTTTTCTTTTCGGGAAATGTGGAGATCCAACGATTATAGCATTAATGCAACCATTCCAGGTCCCTCAGGTTGAGTTAACATTAATATCTAAGTAAGTGTTCCCATTTCATGTCTACAATAAGGTAGATTGTGAACTTCCTGTATCTCTGAATTCTGGCAAAAATTCCACAAGATAATTTATAGTAATGTCAAATTTTTGGAGTGCAAACTCATACTCTACATTTGGATCACTTTCCTCCTTTGAGTGTACCTGACTTGAGAATACAAGGCAATTTTTCTTTCCTAAATCCTTGGAAAAATATTTTTGCAGTAAGTCTTGTGTCTTTTTTTTTTTTTTTTTTTTTTTGAGATGGAGTCTCGCTCTGTTGCCCAGGCTGGACGGAGTGCAGTGGTGCGATCTCGGCTCACTGCAAGCTCTGCCTCCCAAGTTCACAATATTCTCCTGCCTCAGCCTCCCGAGTAGCTGGGACTACCGGCGCCTGCCACCATACCCGGCTAATTTTTTGTATTTTTAGTAGAGACGGGTTTTCACCGTGTTAACCAGAATGGTCTCAATCTCCTGATCTCGCAATCCGCCCACCTTGGCCTCCCAAAGTGCTGGGATTACAGGCATGAGCCACCGCGACTGGCCGTCTTGTGTCTTCTTTACTGTGACTGGGTTGTTTTTAAGAAAGGTTATCAGCTTTGTGTTTGGTTTCCCACAGTTGATAAAAATCTATCAAAAACATTATAATTTGCAAGGAAAAAGGTTTTTCAAAGGCTGCAGGAACCAGAAAAAATTAGCATTTCTTATTTGTATAAACACAAACATTTAAAGCTAGTCACACTGCAGGTAAATCCAATACAGTATTCAAAAGTTCTATAAAAATGAACAAGAGATACACATTTACTTTCATTGCTCCAACAGTCAAATGTAAATCTGCATGAGAGTTGCGCTGCAGCAGTTCACCGGTCCAATTTAAGAGTTCAAGGTCCTTTTTGTACATTTGGCCCACTGATGTTCACATCCCAGATAAATTTTCAAAAGACAGAAATCAGGGCAAAGACTCCATATAACAAAGCGCAAGGATATGCTACTAAAAGTTGCTGTCCTTCCATGGCTAATGCAGAAATAAATATTTTGGAAGCAGAAAAACTACACCATCCAATAATCCCAGCAGTGAGAATGATTCCTACCATTCCTCTGTAACCAACAAGGAAAAAGGGGGGAGGAGAAAAAAAAGCAGATGACATTAGTTATGTAAGAATACTACAATAACCTATTCTAAAGCATTTTAAATTTACATTTTAAAACTGCAAGTAGACGTATGCAGAAATAATCAGGATTTGTTTTTTCAAATGCTAAAATGTACCTCACAGTAAATTCAATGATGGCAAATCATTTCATGTGATAAACAGCTTTTGTTAAACTGTTTTACTTTTTAAAAATATAAGGTCTCTCACTCTTGGCACTACTAACATTTGGGCTGGATGTATCTTTGTTGCGGGGGCTGTCCTGTGCACTGTCAGAATGTTCAGCAGCATCTCTGGCCTCTACACCTAAGATACAAGCAGCACCCTTGACCCCCATCAGACATTGTCAAATGTCCCCTTGGAGGCAAAATTGTTCCTAGTTGAAAAAAGGGTTTTAGCAGAAAATAACTTCTGTAAAATTCAAATATGAATACACAAATTCTTAATGAATAAGAGTGATTTCTACACTGAAAATACGAAATATTTCTATTGAAAGCAGAAATAGTATAAAGCATCACTTTGCCAAATTTCTTGTATCAGACAAATAATTGACATATTTGTCTCTTCTCCCAAATCTCCACTTTAGCTTTCAAAGTGTAACAAAGCCTGACCACTGGTAATGTCTAACACTAGTCACAAGGAGGATTTTATATTGAGACCATCTGTACACTGGCCACAGGGAGGAACCTTATTGGCAGTAATGTATACCTTTCCTTTTTTTTTTTTTTTTGAGACAGTTTCGCTCTTGTTGCCCAGGCTGAAGTATGCAACGGGGCAATCTCGGCTCACTGCAATCTCCACTTCCCGGGTTCAAGTGATACTCCTGCCTCAGCCTCCAGAGTAGCTGGGATTGCAGGCATGCGCTACCATGCCCAGCTAATTTTGTATTTTTAGTAGAGACGGGGTTTCTCCACGTTGGTCAGGCTGGTCTCAAACTCCTGACCTCAGGTGATTTGCCTGCCTCGGCCTCCCAAAGTGCTGGGATTATAGGTGTAAGCAACCATGCCCAGCCATACCTTTTCTTTTAACCTAACATAAAATATCATTTAAAAATTACACATACTTAAAGCTGCTTACAAGTACATCTATCTGAGAAACACAGTAGGCTGATAAGTCTCTTGTCATAAAAAGATTACATTTCATTTCCAGTTAAAAAGCTGCCCAATAGAGTATGTATTTATTACTCATACATTTGGCATATGTCCAATGGTTTCAACAAATTAGGTGGATCTAGAAAACACCAAAGAGGGTAAGCATAATTTGAACAATAATGACTTGACCTTTCTCATGTAATATTTAACTATCACCCTGTTCAATTTGTTACCACTATGACAATGGTAAGTAAACACAAAACTAGTGAAATTCTTGATCATGGGTAAAACAGAGATGGTATAAAGGTTTTAAAATTTATTCTCATTACCATTGTTCTTCATCCAAAACCATTTGGCACCATCTCTACTACAAGAGGCACTATCTGATATGTTTGCTGAATCAGTGATTTATCCCAAACTGAAGATGAGGTGAATCCTACTACATAGAATTGGTCAATCAACCCCCAAAATAAAGAACAGTACTTACTGCAAAGAAAATATCACTGCAAAGCTGGAAAGCAGGATCATAGGCAGAAGACAATATCCAAGGACACTTGCCACACAACCAAATGAAACACCTGTCATACTCATTAAGTTTAATAAACAAAACATTCCTAGACATCCGATTGCACTGATCCCGTATACATAGCCAAACTGGATTTTGCCAGCCTACGGGTAAAGAAGATGATTACAGGTTAAAGGGCAAAAAATAAGTTATTTCTGGCCTTATTTCACCTGAATCAGTATAGGTAGGAAATATTTCATGAACATCAAAATCTACTAATCTATTCTTTATGTAGAGAAGTAAAAGATTGAGCAGACTGGCTTGTTACATTCTTTGTAACTTTAAAGTACACAGATATTTGGTTCTCCATTTCCCAGTTAGCGTGCAGGCTTGGCACAGAAGTGAACAAATGAAGAGACAAAAGCATAGCAGAATCACTCAAAATAGTAAGGTTTCTAAAAAGAACTCTGAATGATTTTAGGCAAATAAACTAGAGACAAGAGGGAAGCCATTCAGAATATTTAAATAACAGTTATATCAGTTGAAAGTACCTAATTCCACCAAAAATGCCCCCAAGCAATTAAATCTCATTGGTGGAGTTGTCATAAACTTTCTAAGAAGAAATCTTATGATTCACTTTATATGGGTGTTAGAGGAGCAAGGGGAAAGGAAGCCAGGATAAACAGGAAGCCAGGGTTCTGTGAGGAGGAGAGAAGAAATGGAAAGAAGAATATAATGGAAGATATATATTTTTTAATTTTTCCAAATTATTGGCTGATTTACACAGTCCTTTGATTAAGAAAAGACAACAATAAGCAGTTTAAGCACTGCAAAGATTAGCTAAATTGGAATTATCCTACTGTTAGCCGAGTTTGTGAACAACAAACTTTGTATTCAGGTCACACTATCACTAAAACCAGTTTACAAAAAAGCCTTCAAAAAGCTATTGATTGATCCAACTTTTGTCATATAAAACTAAATTAGGAGAATGCTTCTACAGTTTATGTTAAGTAAACAAATTGTTGGGACATTTATTAGATTATTTGTAAATACTTGACTAAAAGTGCAGAAGTTTGAAAAAGCTGAGTTCATTGATGAATTCATTCATGTAGTAATAAAAAAACTCACATTTGTACAGTGTTTTTCACTTTTCAATGTGTTCTCACATAACCTGTCTTGTTTCATCTTCAAAATAATCTTGCTAGGTAAGCAGGACAGGATTATTTTCTATGAGAGGAAACTGAAGGATTAAATGATGTGGCCAAGGGCAGATCAGGAGCACTCTGTTCAAGCCCAGCTCTTATGACTAAAAATCCCATCTTCTATACATTACAGTAGTTATCTCTTATTAATTCAGAGACATAAGATAAAAAAAATATTAACAATTATCTTTACAACTTTTCTGTTTTCAATATGCCTTTACATTCTTGGGAAGGTGATAAATTGGGAAAATAATATATGGAAAAGTAATCATCAGTATGACTATAACAAAACATTAACCAAGGTTTAGTGATTTTTAAAAAAATATTTAAAAAAAAAGCAATAGCGTAAAAACTGTAAGTAACCTCTGAAAAGGCAGAATTCTAATGAGGGACTGAAGCTATACCTGTTGTTTACTATTTCATTTTCCCCTAATAATTGAATCATTTCTTAGAACAAGAAATGATTTTTAAAACATGCTACACTTACTATAGATGGAGAACTAACGAATAGGTATAAATACAAGCAACTCAGTACTATTCCAAACACATCAAAGACTTGAGGTGTAAAGCAGAGTTTCAAAATGGCTTTTGGTAGAACATTCAAAATTTAAAGGTTGTTCTTTAATTGCACCCTGAAGGTTGAAATGAAAATCTTACCAGTAGCAATGTGGCTCCAAAAGCAAGGCAAAAAACCATTGGTCCTGCCAAATCAGTTTCATTCATGATGCTGCCATCTGCTACTTTTAATGGATGTAATACTGTTAGTGTTTTTTGCCAGATGTGGTCAAAATTGATACCTAACTCTAAGGAGAAAGAAAATTTAAAAGTTAATTAGGATTTGTGATGTATTTTTAACTAACTGATCAAAATCTATGTTGAAATGGGAGACAAAATGACATAGATAGCATCAAAAAAGGATCTAGCAATATTGGATGACATTATTATTATTATCATTATTGTGGTAGGTTCTCTCTCTGTCACCCAGGCTGGAGTGCAGTGGCATGATTATAGCTCACTATAGCCTCAAACTCCTGAACTCAAGTGCTGTTCCTGCCTAGCCTCTTGAGTAGCTGGGACCACAGGTGTGTGCCACAACATAGAGCTATTTCTTTTCTTTCCTTTTTTTTTTTCTTTTTTTTTTTTTGGAGAGATGGGATCTTGCTGTGTTGCTCAGCCTGGTCTCCTGGTCTCAAGAGATCCTCCCAGCCTCGGCCTCACAAAGCACTGGGATTACAGGTGTTGAGCCACTGTGCCTGGCCTGAATGATATTATTTTAGTGAGTTCTCTATGCCAGTCTTCAATGTGGTGCTCATCCCACAAATATGTCATTTCTGGATTGGTGTTGGAAAAGGGTACGGATCTGATGAAAAAGACAGTTATTACATCCCTTAGGCATGACTGCATAGCAAAGAATATACAAAAACGGTTAACAGTAAGAGGTTCTTTATCTGGGGCTTCAGGAATACCTGGGGGCCCATTTAACCGTATACAAAACGACGTCTCTATGCATATGTGTGCATTTTTTCTGAGGAGAGTGTTCATACCTTTCATTAGATTTTCAAAGAGTATCTAGTTCAAAAAAAATGTTCGGAACTACCTCTTCCTAGGTTTTGGAATACAGTTTGAAAATCACCATTTTTTTAGTGATGTCACTAGTTCTGCCAGTTTATTTCCACATAGAATAATGGATACCATGCTTTTTCTTCTCACTTTTTCCACTAGTAGATTTGGCCAATAACCTGAAGTAAAAGTCGATGCTGACAGAGTAATATACTTTATTATCACTATTAAAAGATCTATTAAAAATCTGGTCTCTTCTGGCCCAATGTGGTTTCACATATACTCTGTTTAAAATGAGTTGTTTAGCAGAAGACTTTTTTCTACAAGATTTTTTTTTAAAGGAAAATACAATTTCTCCAAATTAAGATTAATTCTCACTAACCAGCTGAATACTATTGAGTACTATCAAGTGTTGCAACCAATCTTACCTTCTAATAAAGGTGGCTCATCCTCAAAGCTGTTTCCATAGAAGGGCTGAGGTGAAGCTGGAGTATATGCCTGAGTTGGCTGGTAAATCTGCCCAGTGTATGGCTGTTGTGGCTGCATCATGTCTGGAGGGACAAATCGGCCTTGCTGCGAATAGTCATAGCCAGCATACTGTCTATAAATGAAAGAAAGTCAAATTTTTCAGAAGTATTTCAACTCTGTACAGTTAATATACCTTAAATTCCTAAATTTTCATTTGACAGCTAAAGAACCTTAGTTGTGCAATTACTAAGATACAAACTTTGCCAATTTTTATAAATCATGGTTGAAATGATTACTAATATCAAGCTGATTATCTACAATAAAAACTCATAATTTTTATAAAAAATCTTCTTAATGAAACCAATATTCACTTACGTAGCACTAAGCATTTTACCAACTGTTAAAAGTTAGGAGGTCAACAAATGAAAATGTAAAAATTGTGTCTATTTTTCTCCCTTAGTGGAATATACAATATGAAGAACACTATGAAATAAAATCTATGGCTAAGACTGAATGAAACCTTAGGATATCAAACTTTGTAATACATGTTATATAATTTTTCACTGTAATTTGGATAGCCATTGAATCATCGTTCTTCTTTCCTCTTCATAGCATGTTACCTTTGGCAAGTGGACAAATCTCTTTAAGAAAACCATCAATTTAAAAACAGAGTGGACAAATCAAGTTTTGCTTTGTGAGCACTTGTTGAATATAACAAAACATTTTTAGTACACTTTGCATTTGAATAATATTTTTTCAAAGTACTATTTCTCAAAGTAGTTATACACTTATTGTCTCATTTGATATGTGCTATAGCAAACCCTGTATCTAGAGGGAAAGCTTTATCACAGCTATTTTAGTGACAATGGCAAGAAGGAAGAGAAGGATACTGAAGCCACATCTTTAAACATCTGTTCCATCATGTTTTGAAAAAAATCCAGCTTACTGATGGGACTAATCTAATGATACACTAAGAAACACAGATGTAAAATAATTATTTTAAAAGATATTCTTAAAAATGAGAGCTGAGAAGCCTTAGAAAACCTTTAGTCTAATTCCCATTTAAATTCTTATAGCCATAATGTCAGTTGTTTTCCTTGGGGTGAGGCTCTCTTTACTTGTTTTTGGGAAAATATCTGCCGAATGCTCAAGTCTGAATAACCATAGTTTATCTGTAGTTCTTTCAAATAAAAATGGTCTTCATGAAATAACAGCCAGTTCAGCTTGCACAGGTGCTTTTCGTAGAGATAGTAATTGTACTTTAGTATGTAGTAAATACTAAATTTTGTCACACAGAATATTAAAGAAATAGGCTGGGTGTGGTGGCTCAAGCCTGTAATCCCAGCACTTTGGGAGGCCGAGACGGGTGGATCACGAGGTCAGGAGATCGAGACCATCCTGGCTAACACGGTGAAACCCCGTCTCTACTTAAAAAAATACAAAAAAAAAAAAAAAAAAACTAGCCAGGCGAGGTGGCGGGCGCCTGTAGTCCCAGCTACTTGGGAGGCTAAGGCAGGAGAATGGCGTAAACCCGGGAGGTGGAGATTGCAGTGAGCTGAGATCCCACCACTGCACTCCAGTGTGGGCGACAGAGCAAGACTCCATCTCAAAAAAAAAAAAAAAGAAAAAAAAAAAAAAGAAATATGTGTACTAAAGGGTCAGGATTTAATAAAACGATAATTCTTACTGCTTCCTCAACAGAATCCTTAAATGAAATTGACTACCTGCCAACTCTCTAACAAGTCTATAGAGTGATGAAGAATACGATGACTACTAGAACAACTTGATGCCACTATCTTGATTCATATTTGGGTACCAGCAGTTTTACCAATCAATACTTTTGCAACAGCACTGCAAATGTTAACATACCTAAAAAGGTATATGATATCTTAGTATTGTTATGAAAATAACTTTGACCTTAAAGAATCTCAGAAGAGTCTCAAGGACCCTCTGTAGTCTACAGCCTAAATTTTGAGAGCTACTGATACAGACCCATAAATTTCATGTAAGGAAGAAAAATGCTGCAAGCAATTGTTTCAAAGGTGGCACCATCATTCCATCTTCAAGAGGAAAGGTGAGAATGACAACATCATAGAATTTTACTATTTTCCTTTTCTGGCAGGACCTATTCAGGAAAATTTCTGACTTGCTCCTGCTGGTTTTAAACTAAAACATGGTATGTGAGACATGATCTTTATAGGCTAAAACGACATACTTTCATGGCAGGAGAAGCAGCAGATACTAAATCAATGCTCTCATAAGTACTCTGAATCAATAACAAAGACAAACCCTCTTAACATATTGGGTTGGTTACCTAAGTTCATGGAAATCCTCAGATATTCCATAAAGATACTATCAGGCAAGTCAAAGAAGAAAAAAAATAACCTTTCATACTTTAAAAAATGTGACTTGGTATTATGATATATTTCATAAGCATATCTGGAATACAATGTGGAATCTATCCAATTTTCCATTCATATAACTCAACAGATTATGATCAAAGGGCCTTTTACACTTTTTTTTATTGTTTTTTTTTTTTTGGTGAATGGATATATGAATGATACTTGTGAAACACCTATAGAAGAAACCACAAAATGTTAAAGCTGACTTCATTATGGCAAATGCAGAACTGTGTACTAATAACAAGTCAAGTTAAAAATGTAAAGGCAATGCAAGTAATATGCTATTTGCACCTAGATTTTCACCAATGGCGAGCGTAAAGTTATTAGCAATCTCTGTTACCAAATTAGCAAATCCAACAAAACATTATTTGGTTAACTGAGATGGATGTTTAAAATGTCATTAGATTACAGATCTACTTGAAGGTACACAGAGAAGAGTCCAGCTTTTAAAAAATAAATCTCAGAAACTCAAATTTATTACTGTTAATACATTAGGGTTCTTGTTTTCCCAGGCATCATCTATAAACCCAAGTTTACAGCAATAATGGTTATATAATCACCCAGAATAAAACCTCTTCACTAGTACTGAAGCAATGCTTACTGGTACATTATTTGGTTGGAATGAAACTGTGAGAACAGTTAGCAACAAGTTGTTTAGAATATCTAAATTGCTGTGTAGAGATCTGAAATGACTGTTAAATGGAATGAGACTATAAGTCACACCTTTTAAGTGATGCAAATGTGGACAGGACAAAAAAGCAGAGATAGATAAATCTCGTAGGCTGCAATCTAAATGGAATAGTTCTGTTGAGTTCTAATCATAAAAATCATTCGGTTAAAAACAGGCCTGCATACAGAGACAGGTTCTCCAAAGCCCTGTTGCTGCTTTAGGCAAGGGTTTATTAGATGGACTCTGTCTCCCATACACAAAGCAATCACCATAAATACATATTTAGGTAAATAAATGAATGGAAATATCTCAATACAAATTTTCCAATTCTGCCCATTAATTTATCAAAAGAGATAAATCTTTTGATTGGTATGTAGTTAAGTAACAGAAAAGGGAAATGAATCACAGAGGGTATTCTGACATGCTCACTCCCATTGTTCATATGTGTTAAGTTTTAGAGGAGAAAATAAAGCCTTAGAATATACCAAATTAAGCAGACTCGAAGAGACTATAGGTTTCATAAAGGATAGCTTAACCAAGACAGACTGTATTATAGAGCCACACCGAATTTGAATTTTGTTTTGTTTCTTAAATTCTTGAGCACTCTAATCCAAACACATTCTTGTATTGCATGTTTCTCACAAACTGACAGATACATAACCTTTCCCTGCCCTCAACGTGGAACAGTCTTTATGAGGTTTTAAATTCGGGATCCATGGATGATCATCATATAACACATGAATTGTCTGAAGTTATATATGCACATTTATTTGGGTGTTTGAGTGAATGCATGTATTTATGGGAAAGAGGCCCAGTTGTAATAAGATTCTCAAAGTGATCTAGAATCATCTTAAGTTTAAACAATCCTAGTATAGGAAGCTCCTTTATTTGACAGGAAGTTGATAAGATTATCTCTAGGGTCCCGAGAAACTAAGGAGATGATATCCTAGGTGAGATTGCTAGAAAGCCTTCAGTTCATGTATTTTTGTCACAAACACCAGGTACTATAAAAAGATCACTTTTTTTTTTTTTAATGTTCAGAGGCTAATGGCTTTGAGTCAACCTCCTCAGTATGCAACTTATAACATGTGTGGTACTGACCATAAGGGTTTCAGAAAGAGGAGTAACGAGGAGTAATAAAAATGATTACCAACTGCTGTATGAAAATCACCTGATGATTCATAATAGGGAGCTTACATCATTAAATAATGTCACTAAGTACTTTCAATTAGCACTGATAAAAGTCTCAAGTTGGACTGATTTAACTACTACCAAAATATTCTAATTTTTCACTGTCCCATGAACTAACAGCCTATCTCCTAGGTACCTGAAGCTCCCATCATCATCTAAATACAGAAATACTGTTACTAGAAAACAGTTCTTCCAACAAGTTACTTTTCCCTTCATGGTACACCTGAAGATTTTGCAGAAGATACTCAACTGTAAATAGAGCAAGCAACTGGCTTCAAACCCAAGCCAGTGTCACATATCTCTCTAGAGGAAGAAGATTATGCATGAAAGATCATACTCCTGATAAATAACATGTTCACACATTGTTTTAGGCAGAACCAAGTATTCTAAATATGTGTTTTCCCTGCAATGTAGACTAAATTAATTGCCAAAGATGAAAAGTTACTTGCTATAGGGTCCTCCACTTCCTCCATAATCATAGGACTGCTGTGACTGATCATCGATGCTGTAACTTGTCTGGTAGAAATCCGTGTTTAAGTTTTCAAAGCCTGACATTGCAAATAATCTGTAATAAAAGAGAAACGGCAAATACTGCTTATGCCCAAGGTTCTACTGAATTCGCTCCTGGCAGTCTGCTTAAGCAAATACAGAACACAACAAATATTTTTTCAGTAATTCGGGGCGGGGGCGGGGGAGGAACGCAGCATTTGAAGGGCGGTGGCGGAGAGAGAGTAAGAAAATAAGTTGCGGCCCAGTAAGACAACTCCACCTTAAGGAGCTGATAATGTCTTCCATCAGGGGCGAGGTCGTGGGAGCTGTGGTTCCATAAGGGGTCTAAAATATCAATAACAACAAAGATGATTTTTCACCTTAGGACAGGGCTTTACAGCTGACAACGCGACTGCTTCCTTGCAAAATAAGGCCCGCAGCCTGCCAGGAAAGTGCAGAATCTTGGAAGGTCGCGCCTGAGGTGCAGGGGCCCGCGTCAGGGCAAGGACTTGAACGGGAGCGAGGGTCTGAGCGAAAAGGACCAGGGCGCGGCGCCGAAAGACCGCAACAAGCCCATTTGCACAGGTGTGGAGAGAAGCTGAATAGTGTGCCACGGGCCTGGGTCACTCACCAAACTCTCAGGCTGCGCTGGCGGCGAAGGCAGTAGCTTCAGTAGTCCCAAACAACCCCCAAACTCTGTTTCAGACCCTGAAACAGCCCCGTTGCTACGTGTCACAGGGCCAAAAAACTGCTTCCGGAGCATGTCCGCTCGCGCAGGCGTGTTAGCAAGTTTTGCGCTCTCCTCTTTGGTTGGGCACCGGTGGGCGGGAGGAGGAGACACGAATACAGAGCATGCGTAGTATCTACCCCACCTGCGGCGGGCCAATGCGAAAGAGGAAAGTGCTTCCGGCAGCCTGGTTAGCGTGAAACCAGGAAAGCGCAGGCGCAGCAATTGCTGCTTACTTGTTGGGAGGAGGAGGAGTTTCTCAGACCGAGGTGATGAAAGGCTGGGAGGCGCTAAAATGAGACAGCCGGAGCCCCCCTTTCCTGTCCACAAACTACAATGCCTCGGTATCTGCATTTATTGTGATTCAAGCACTGTGCTAAAGAGTTTGTATGTATTATTTAATCTTTACAACCTAATGAGATGGTTACCCTATTTCCCTGTTTTAAGTGAAGCTATTAAGTGTGCATTCTGTGCTAGCTGCTGGGGATACTGTAGTAAATATAAGCTAGATGACATCTACCCACCTGGCGTTGGTGGTGGAGAGGGGTAATCGAACACATACAAATGCGAGTGAAATTGCTGCTAATATTCTTTAGCGCTCCATAAGAGTAACATTCATCTGGGAGGAAGAGTCTGTAAAGCCACTATAAGAGAGTTAACGAAGGGTGAGTGGGAGTTAGAGAAGACAAAAAAAAGAGGAAAGGACAAGGGTAAAGGAGGATAATAGGTAAAAAGGTAAAGGGAAATAAAAAGGTAAAGGGAAAATAGCCTGAATATTTTAGGCAAAGAGAACAATGTGTGCAAGATCTGGGAAACATGGTCTGAGGAAAGATGAAAATCGAGCTCTGAACTTTAGCATTATTAACATTTTGGGTCAGAATGATTCTTTGGGTCATGCCCTGTGCGTGATGCTTAGCATAGCGTCCCTAACCTCTAGCCATTAGATGCCAGTTCTCCTCATAACCAACCACCACCACCACCACCAAGTTGGGACAGCTAAAAATCTCTCCAGACATTGCCAAATCCAAATGTCCCTGGGGCGGGGGTGGGGGCAACATCACCTGAATTTGTGAACCACTCTTCTAAGTGGAACCTGAGTGACTGGAACGGCAAGTGAGGGGAGCCACATAGGAGTTGAGGCTGGAATAACAGGAAGGGGCCAGGAAATATCCTGTGGGATTTGTGTGTTGGTTCTAAAAGAAATGAAGATTGTGAACTGATGAGTGATGTTTAGATTGTTTCCTTTTGAAAAAGATTGCTTTGGCTGCTGTGTTAAATCACTTTCCCAAGATGGTGGAATCCAAATACTGTGACTCCAAATAACATGCTATTAACTAATGAGCAGAACTTTCTTCAGGGTTTATAGTAATAACATTTATCATGAGCCATTGCATTATATTCCGGTATCAAAATCCTGAGGCCCTCACAAAAGAAGCCAGACCATTGTTGAGGACTAGTTTCCAAAGGAACAATAAAATTTCACTTAAAATTTTTCTCTCAACACCCCCACCGCAATAAAACAAACAAGTAAAACTAAAACAAACAAAAAACGCACTCCCCTCCAAACAAAAATAGCAAGAACAAAAGGCTATAACAACCATATCAAAAAACCTAGGATTGTACCCTAGAAACCAACAGGCAGCTGCCCTTTGAGGTTTTTACTCCATTGGTGAATTTAATTTTTTTTATTTTTACGGATACATCATAGTTGTACATATTTATGAGATAAATGTGATATTTTGATACAGGAATACAATGTGTAATAATGAAATCGGGGTAATTGAGATGTATCTGTCGCCTCAAACATTTGTCACTGCTTTGTGTAGAGAAAATTCTAAATCTACTCCTAGTTATTTTGAACTATACAATAAATTATTGTTAATTATGGCTACCCTATTTTGCCACTGAACACTAGATTTTTGTGCTTTCTGCCTATATTTTTGAATTTCTGAAATTGCTCATTCAAGTGTTCACCACCTTTCATCAATCATTTTAGCATTTATTGGTTTAGGTATCATTGGCACAACTTTAGGTAGAATGACCACATATTATGATTTGCTGGAGACAATTCCATTGTCCCATTTTCTGCCTATTTTTCCTTACCCCCAGCATAATTATTAATATTGTTCCCTTTTACTCTCAAAAATATCCTAGTTCAGTTGATAAACTTTGTGATTGTACTTTCTTTAAGCTACATTATCCATGAAGCTGTGTTTCGAATCATCAACAAGATGCAGTAATCCATCATTATCTACTTAATCTTATGGTTAAAAAAAAATCTGGTCTGTCTTGTTTTTTTCTGATGTTTCTGTTTCTTCTGAATCAAAAAAGATATCCCTTTCAAATTTGAGTGAGCTACAAGAATATGAGCATTAAAAATTGTCCATTTAGATGCTGGTAAGGTTGAGAGAAAAAGGAATGCTTATACACTGTTGGTGGGAGGGTAAATTAGTTCAGCCATTATGGAGCACAGTGTGGCGATTCTTCAAAGACCTAAAGACAGAAATACCATTCTACCCAGTAATCCCGTTACTGGGCATACACCCAAAAGGTTATAAATCAATCTACCATAAAGACACATGCATGTGTATGTTCATTGCAGCACTATTCACAGTAGCAAAGACATGGAAGCAACTTAAATGCCCATCCATCATAGACTGGATAAAGAAAATGTGGCACATACACACCATGAAATATTATGCAGCCATAGAAAAGCAATGAGATAATGTCCTTTGCAGGGACATAGACAGAGCTGCAGGAAATTATCCTTAGCAAACTAATGCAGGAACAGAAAACCAGATACCACATGTTATCCTTATAAGTAGGAGCTAAATAATGAGAACACATGGACACCTAGAGGGGAACAACACACAGTAGGGCATGTTGGAGGGAGGAGGGAGAGAATCAGGAAAAATAACTAATAGGTACTAGGCTTAATACCTGGGTGATGAAATAATCTGTACAACAAACCCCTATGATACAAGTTTATCTATGTAACAAACCTGCACCTGTACCCCGAAGTTAAAAGGTAAAAAATTTGCCTGTTTTAGGAATGAATTATTAGATATAGATGTTCTTCAAATTCTACTTCTGTCTCTGAAAGCAATTAACATATTTAAATTTTCCCCCTTGAATTTCTGCTCCAATTGAGAAGCCAAGCAAGAAAATTGAGTTACCTGATTGAGTTTTGCATATTGTTTATTTGACTTTGAGACATAAGCCAAAGTATCCTGCAGATGCCCATTAGGGATTTTGAGAACATCCACTAATTTCATGGCTAATCATGTAGGAATTTCATTTTGGATTTTTTCCTTTTTTTTTTTTTGCATTGCTCCCTCACTCTGGGATAGGCTTCAGAAAGTTATATTAAAGGAAACTGGAGTCCTTGGTAGATGTGCCATCCTCTGTTAAAGTCACCCACTTGGCTTTATCAGGAGTAGAAAGCCTCACCTAGGTCAAGAGATGAGGCAACATGAGCTAGAGCTGTAATAGCTGCACAGTCCTTCCCTGGGACCTAATGTATCCATCACCAAAACAAAAATGGAAAGGACATCCTAATAATGAGTAATATTATTTAGTTAAGACAGTCATGCTAGTATACACACTAACACTTTTACATGTTTCACAAACACACACAAAACAACTTCATTTTCTTAGTATGGCTCTGAAACTAAGGTACAGGCCCTGGAGCCAGACTGCATGGATTTACATTCTGTACTACTTACTTGCCATGGAGCTTCAGTAATTTATTTAAAGATATTTTAGAGTTGCCTTCTTTCCCTTCTGTTTTTTAGTTAATATGCCGTGGAAAATTGTGCCAGAAAATTATGGTTTGAACATGGGCAGTTTTCTCCTACCTTCAGCTATATCCACAAGCACCACATGAAATGGAGATCTGGCAGCTCTGTGTATTTCAGTCAAGTTCCACAATGAAACCTGACGACTACGGTAAAAACCAAATAAGTGCCAGTGTTTGTTTTCACTGTCCCTGCATATTAACTATGTAACCTCTTTTCTCAAATATGACAATTATATTTCCTCTAAATTATCTTTTTTCCTTTACCAAAGAGTTTCCTCATCAAGTCTTCTGTACTAGGTTATTCAAATTCTGCTTCTGTTATTTCAGTTATTTTACTTTGAACAATGAATAGTTTTGAGAAGATAGATTTGTCTGTAATGGCGTTGGATGCCTTTGTATAGAACTGGTTTTTAAAAGGCAAAGAAATTTAACCCTAATTTTATAACTATTCCTGGAAACTTTACATCGGTATTGCAAGTGCTGCATGTTGTTAAAAAAAAAAAAGTCTTTTAAAGATAACATATAAGCAATATTGTAAATACTGTAAATATTTTCATTGCAGAGATAAAAAATACCCTCTTAAGTAACAAATAAACCTTTCTAATATCAGGCGAATGGCTATTGTGGCTTGGAATATCAGTTTCAGTGAAGGCACTGAAGCACTGGAAGTCTATATTTCAAATAACTTGGGTAGTAAGGGAGATAATATGAAAAACAGCATGGGAGAACTCACAGTGGGCTCTAATGATGGCAAAGCCACTCATGCCAAAGGTAAAAATGAAGGATTTGAAAAATATGACAGTTAGCACCTATATATACTTCAAGCATTTGTGTGCCAAGCATTTCTTTAAGCACTTTGTACTTTTTAACTCAATTACTCCTCCTCTTAACAACCCAGTGAGGTGGGTGCCCTATAACTCCCATTTGACACATGAGGAAATTGAGAACAGAGTAAATAATTTGTTAAACATTATTATGCTAGAAAATAGTAGACTAGACATTTTGAACTCATTCCTGAGTCCTTATGCTAAACCACTAGGCTGTATTGTTATTATGTTATGAAATGTGAATGTAGAAAAGTCAATAATTCTGATTAATATCCTAATTTATCTAAAATGTGATTACTGAAATCCATATAAATTAAAATTGCAACTAGACATTTGATAATTGCATCTGCGTCTCCACATGTATATATATTCAAATTGATAAAAAATATTTTCTGTAATGTTCTCATTGGGCAAATAGTATTTAAACCTTATGTTTAAGTTTATGTTACATTAGTCATGTATGTTAATTGATATTGCA